CTAGGGTCAGCCCACTACTCTCCACTTAGACTACTGCTCCGCGTTATACCGGAACGACCGAGAAACAAAACAAAACAGTAGGACTCTTTGGCCAAGACCTAGATCCAGATCCAGATCCAAGTAATCTACACTCGTGCTTCTACTTCATTTCGCGGGACCGATCTTGATCTATTCCAGATCTACTTCTAGATCTATATCTAGATCTAGATCTAGCTAGTAACTAGATCCCCCGTAATATAAGCTTTAACGGGACAGGTCAAAACTGCAAACTGAGCGTAAAATCAAGGTTCTATACAATTTCTTAGGAATCTTGAGACTTAAATAAACGACTTTACCGCTGCCACCATGTTGAGTTGTGTTCCGAACTCTTTAATTGACTTGATAACGCACAGAAGATGCGGGTACAGACTTGCTAGTTTATTAGAACCATAGCAACGGACGTTATTGAACAATATGCCCAATGGGCCTAACTTTACACATACCAGGTTTCTCTAATGTATGCCCAAAGGGCCTAACTTTACACATACCAGGTTTCTCTAATGGGATAAGTTAGAGAGTTACTTATAGACTTAGAATGTTTGGTACAGAAATTGCACTACAGAGATCGTGTACATCAACAGCGAGCGCCGTAAAAACCTTACTAAAACTTTAAAAAACTCTCTCTCTCTTTCTTTTTTTCCTTTTCCCCCTGTCTCCGCCTCCCCCGCCTCTCTCTCTCTCTCCCTCTCTCGCAAACTTGCAAAGTGACATAAAATAAATCATAAACTTGCTACTGGTCTAAGTTGTTGTTTTGCCGATTCAACCTCTTTTCAATGTACTAATTCATCCATTTGTGAAACTCAAGCACCAGTAAATACTGGTAAAAAACCTCACTATGCTTTTTTCTTTCAAAATAAAATAACGTAACTGCATACGTAAACTTTCTCTCTCTCCTCTCCTCTCTCTCTCTTTTCCCTTTCCCTCTGTCTCCGCCTCCCCTCCCCCGTCTCTCTCTCCCTTCCCCTCCCTCTCTCTCTCTATCTCCCTCTATCTCTCTCTCTCGCAAACTTGCAAAGTGAAGCACATAAACAATAATATTGCACCCGGTCTATGTAGGTGTTTTGCCGATTCAACCTATTTTCAAAGTTACAAGGCTGTTCATATTACTGATTCATACATTTGTGAAACTCAAGCACCAGTATCTATACCGGTAAAATGCCCCTCCAAGCTTTTTTCCTCCAAGATAAAATAACGTAACTGTAACTTTATAGGTTTGTATTGTGTGTAAAGAACTATCGTATTGTGTAGCGTGAGGGACTGTACTGCTACATACTTTGCATTCACGTACTAACGTAAATGACAAAAATGGTCATTTTCTCACTAAGTAAGCAATTAAATTGTCAGCGACAGAAAATATGGCATAAAGTTTATAAACAAACCAAAAATCAATAAGATATTATGTTCCGTTCATTCCAAACAGGATTTGAAAAATTGCGCAAAATCTTTAAACTGCCGTAGCTCGAAACTCCATTTTTGTCGGTTATGATAGTACGAGATCCAGGCGACCATATGTGGACAAAGTAAAAGGTGGACAGTGGCTATTAAACAAAATGGAGACTATGTTGAGAAATAAAAATCTGATCCACAGATGCTCCCCTTCAATTTGAGGTACGATGGTTGTCAGAGCATTTTTTTTTCTTTCTTTAAGTTATATATAATAAACGAACTTGCATTACTTTTTGACTCCCCCTCATAATTTCTACATTTGGATCACAGCATCCTATATTGAAAAAAATAATTTTTAAATATATAATCTTGATAAAAGGACAAGATGCGTTCACAAACAGAAAAAAACCCAAATGTATCTTATACGGAATTATTTAGAATTGCATTTGTAATAAACTTACACATTTCATTTCTTGAGCTGCACTTTTTGTGTATTTTGGGGATAAAAAATATTTTGACAATTTAGACAAGCACTGAAAAATATTAATTTTTTAATAACAGAGCAATGGCAATTTGAGTCCATTTTACAAATAATATAGTATCAATATTCTAAAAAAAGAGTCCTGCACTTCTTTAGTAATCATACTATTGATACATTTTGTTGTGTAAAAGTGGTGTATGGGCTATAATTTGGGCATCACCATAAAACCAAGTGCATAAAACTTCTAATTTGTTTTCTACAACTGAATCAAAGCTTCCAATTTTTGGTGGAAACGCTTGACCCGGAAGTCAGCATTACATTCTAACCTTTTTTTTTAAAACATGGATAGAATTAAAGGTCAGTTCTCAAGCCGCCGGGGGCGGCTTGCCGTAGTGAACTCACATTTAGCCGTGCCGCTGCCCACGGCTCAGTGTATCGCATGAGTTAAATCACCAACAGACATTTATTAACTTGTATTGCATTATAGGGCTTTCTACCTTTTAGGAAAGGACCTATCAGAAGTAGGCTTAAACATAGAATGCTCTGCCTCACATCAACTATCCAGTTGAAAAGAGAGTGACATCAAACTTATATCATGCTTTATAAAAGAAAAAATATAAACATGCTCAAAAGTAATCTAAATAATAAATATTGGAAAAGAAACTCATTAATTTATCTTCTCCAACACATGCAGTAAAATTACAATAAATAAAATTCAGTTCAGGAAAATACCTAAAAGATGTGGAATGTGTACGAAAGCTTACTAATTTAGCCACTGATATTGTAAAACACACAGGATTTCATTTTCTTGGGCCTGCACTATCCACCTTCTTGAGTTCATTGATCTGGCACCGCAAAAGAAAAAATAATCCTTCTCTTGCTAGTGTAATGACAAACCGGTGGGAAGTTACACTATAAAACGTTTAAATTTCAGCAGAAAGAAATCAGGAGCTTACATCTCCAAGAACAGAAGCTGCAAGTGCAAAGAATTTGTTCCATTCAAACTTGACAGTGAACCCTCCAACTTTCATGATGTCATCAAATTGTTCCTTAGGCAGAGCCAGGTCCAGCCATCTCTCTTGAACCTGTGCTGGAGTTACTGTCAGCTTGGGACCCAACTGAAAGAAAAATAGTTCAAATATATTTGTGTAAACAAAACATATACATGAAAGTAACAACATAAGATAGAACTTAACTAAAATAATTATATACACAAATAATTATTGTATTTCAGTTAGGAATCCAAGAACAGCTGCTTATTGCTGGCAGAGTGATCAAACCTCCCAACTCGCAATTTTTTTAAAATTCGTTTTTTTGGGCTACATTTCATCTCCCAGTCCTTCACATTGTGTCAAAAGCAGTAGGTTGAATAAGTAAGAAAAATTATGAAAAAGACTTTCTAAAAAAACCTTGTATGTTTGCCCCCAAGACATTCTGGCGTGATGAAACCTTACTACCCTCACCTGGTGCGCCGATCTGCTTTTGCGTGGTTTCATCACTCCCAGTTTGTGAGAATGACGTACTTATACAAGGTTTCTTGATAAGCTATCTTTTTGATCCGGTTTAATAGAAGCGCTCATAACTGACATTGTCTGGCGCATTTTATATACCTGACTGAATAAAGCAATATTTCATTTATTCATTCATTCATTCATTCACTTTATTTCAGTCAGTTAAGAAATTCAAATAATTCAAATATGCTCATAGTGAAGGACTAAAAATATGTAAATCTATTTGAAATCTATTTATAGGGATGACTAACGCATTGGTAAACAAGATGTTCTCATCAAACACAAATGTAGTTAACACTTAGTTTAAGGCGACAGTCACATCTTGAAAAGACAGGTGACGGTAGCCCTTACTAAGACTAGGAGACAGATCTATGCACTCTCCAGGTGTCAACAGGCCGTTTAGTTTATCAAAGAGAGGGTAAAATTTCCCACCTTCTCATACTATGAATCTGCTGAGTAGTCGAATCCTCCAGTGGTTGTTGAGACCAAATAGTACTGAACTTAGCCATGTTCTTGATGACCCTGGATTCTTTAGAGGGTTTTGTGACAAATGTGTGCCTCAGTTGGGATGACATATTCCAAGCAGATACGGAAATTCCTGTACCATTTATGTTGTTGAGGCACATGTCTTTACACCCTCCAAGATCTGGTTTGGAAACCACTGAGCAGACCATGTTCCATGAATTGACCACAGCCACCATGTCCCAGTCCTTTCCAGGGCTGTCCCTGATAATATGTGGAGACAAGATAGTACCAACATCATCCCAGACTGAGTCTGCACCAACACCAGAGTCGCCTGGAATCAAGCCCCACACTATACTAACGTCTCACCAAACAACTGTAAGACAGCAGTAAGTCAGCTGCTGAATTATTACACACGAGGTCACAGCAACACGATCTGTAGACCACTTTCGTAGATCCATCTCACCTTCAGGCCCCTTAGCCACTTTTCCTGGAGCCTTATCCCGAGACACAGCTCATTTGTGATGCCAGCATGAATGATGCTCCACAGAGGACAATTTAGGGTTTTCAGAAGTGGCAACAAATAAGCGAAAAGCTATCCGTGGATCTGTACAGGAATACCATAATGATTAAATGAACACGGTGCACCGGCAGTGGAATTTTAGTTGCCGCAGGGGGTTCCCCGCCGGGCGCCTTATCACGTCGGGGTCACGGGGGTCAGCTCCCTGTCGCCGCTCTGTCTGGACCGACTTAATTTTTGGTACTTTTCAACCTACAATTTAAGGTTCATCCT